TCATCACCCAAGGCATCAGCGCGTGCTCTTTCCCAAAACCCACCCTCTAGTTGCGCTCCAACGCACTGCTCAATGGTTGCATTCAGCCGCGCCACTTCCACGCACGTCTTCGCCGCCCTCCTGGGGGGTGGCCCGGCTGGGCCAACTGCCGCTCCAAGGTTGAGGCCGCGCCAATCTAGAACAGCCTCCTTGAACGCAGCACTGGGCGACCCCCCGGCGCCTTCGACGAACGCCCCGCCGCGGCCCGCGAACAGAATCACAACAGAAGACACTTCAACCGAGCACGGGCCCACCCCCCTTATTAATGCACCTCGGCAGCAAGGTAACTTCGCGCCCGGGCCGCGCACGGCGACACTTGCCCCCCCCTCTTCAGCGCCGTCTACACGTTTCCCGTTTGACCGCGCGCAATCCGTTGAGATCACCAACGCGCCATGCCTGGGCGCGCCTACACCCCTCCGCGGGACCCCACCCCCCCGGCAGTTCCCCCGACGCAGCGCGGGCGCCAGCTTCGGCGGGGCAAATGTGCTTCGTTGCGCAACTCGACTTTTACCTTGTTTGGCATCAGGCCACGCGCGATTCCCCTAGGCGCTTCAGCCTCCTCGACAACGCGCGCGTACCCGCGCGCGCATCCCCCGCGCCACTCAACTCGCTGCCCCAGCTCTCGCCCCCCCTGCCCCCTTAGATACACCGCGACTAGATTTCGACTGGGCCTCACGGGCTCATTCACAGAAGGACAGGTCCAACATGGGAGCCCCCTGCCCGGGCAATCCCTCAAGTCTTTCGCCATCGCCGCCAACCTCCCCCACTTGCCGCGCCCCCCCCCCCCCCCCGACTCGCGACCCCTTTCGGGGCCTGCATGGCAACAACTTGCACCGCGAGTCGCCGCCTTCTGCCCCGTTGCTCTGCGTTCGATGAACTACGGGATCACCCGTCGCGTCTCGACCCAACAGTGAGCAAATTCTCTGCCTCGACCATTTCACGCGCAGACCCCAATACCTGTCTCACATCCGCTACTAGCATGGACATGCTCACCCTGGATCCCTCCTCGCTCATACCCACAACAACTCGGTGCACATGGTTCTTGATGATTGACCCACTGGCTGCACTGTAGCGTTTACGTTCTTGGATGCCTCCGCGAGCCCAACTGGGAAGCGAGCCCAACGGCGCCGCAAGACCCTGTGTCCACCGCGGCGATAATCGCCTCCATGCCACTATCCGGATCTCGCGCCGGTGCTTCCTCGCTGGCACCTCCAATTCGACTACCCGTCGCGCCGCGCACTTGCGCATCCAACTTCCCCCCTGCTCGACGCACTCCGCGACTCAGTTCTCCCAGGGAGACCATGGTCACAGTTAACGCCGCTTGTATGGGGCACGCATTATCTCCGTTCCTCTTTCTTGTCGCCCGGCGCTGGGGCCCCCGATTCTGCGCGCCCTCAGCCGGCCGCGGCACTTCGACATCGCCCTTAACTTCCACTGTGCTGGCGGCATCGCCTGTTTCAACACTACACATCCTGGCCCAGGCATGGTTTGCCCCAACATCTGCGCGGGCTCTGCTGGGCCTCCTGCCCTTCCTTGCGCTGAGGTAACTTCGCTGGCGCTCTTGCAGCGCCGGGCTGCAACGCGACCTTTTTCGCCGCACTTGCGACGCCCCCTCTCGCCAATAAGTCCCCCCTTACTTCCTCCCTTCCAAGCTCGGGCTCGATCCCCTTGCCCTCGGTAACCCCCCTTGGCGCTCACTCTGCAAATCCCTCGCCTCAATTTCCAATCGCGGCACCTGCGGTTGCGAAATCATTGGCAACGCGCCCAGTATCCTCCACGCTCGTAACGCATGGGTTCTTGACCTTACCCTCTCTTCTGCGCACTTCATTGATTTCGCGGCGCTCGCTCGCGCCCTCCACGCCCCAAGCCCATTTGTTGTCATTCCCATCGCAATAGCCAGAACCATGTGCACCTGAGACCCGGCCACCAACATCTGCATCGTTGACTCGCCAAATGTCTGCTGATTCGTTTTTCGTTGCCTCATCATCCAACATCATCTCCTGGCCCATTCGCACTTGATGAAGAGCTTCTGGCGGTCCAACGGTTCGGGCGCCCTGAAGCAATCTCGCCGTCAGTCGTCGAACCAATGACCCGCATGGACAATGATGGCCCGCAGCGCAGTTACCCTGAATGGCAACGGCAACGAATGCGGAGACCCACACCTTTCCAGAAAAAAATACCCACCAACGCACTCCACTGTTCAAGCTGGGTCGCAAAATCTGTGGAACACATCGCGGGGCAGCGTGACTCCAATAACGGCAGAGTACCATGTGTGTATAGTTTCTGGTATGTCATGAAGCCGTCACCTTGGCGAAGACCTTTGAGCATTCCGCGGGGCGCCGCCCCCTCCAACTTGCAGTTCAAAGATACCAGAAATCCTCGTCCAACTTGGCGTGGTCGTGTTCGTCGAACTCGTATTCCCCCTTCGCGCCGTCTTTCTGTAGCTTGGTATGTGACTTTTGGTATACTCGCTGAGCGTTAACCTCAAGCACCTGTCTTGCGTCAGATCACCATCTTCGCCACCTGCCCGTGCAACATCCATGGTCGCGAACTTGCTTATTGTTCAAAAATTCGAGGTCTACTCGATGCCCATGCTTCACCCAGGCAAGCACAGTCAGCAGCTTGTCGCTCCATTCCCCAAATTTTGTCCGGTCGACTGATTCCGTCTTTAACTATTGGACCGCCTTGTATTCGCTCACGGGCTTGCTTGCACCTCCTCTGGCTCTGGTGTTTCCAGCAGACGGCATGGTCCTCCTCGATATTGACAACCTGTTCCGAAGCGTTCGTTTGACGAGGGAGTTCGGCCCGAACGTGTTCCTCCAGGTTGCTGTACTGTTCCTCGCAGTACATGCTGCGGTTGATGATCGATACCAAAATGATGCTGAACTTTTTAGGTCATGTACAACATTGTGCGCGCCTCGCTCATGGTGCCCAGCGTATCGCGGCATTCGAATGATAACACCATCCCTTCATGATTGGCCGCGAGTGCCAGGTTGGCATACCCGAAACTTCCGTTCTCGTTACCGACTTCCGCGAATCGATTAGCGCTCAGCTTGTAGCACGCCTCTCGAATCCCCGATAACGTCACGTCGACCCCTGGTCTGCTGCACCAGGTTTCGGTGGAGCCGTCGCGGCAGCCGCCGCGGCCCTTGCAGGGAGGCAACTTCGCGGGCTTGACCGCGTGCACTGGAACCCATTGGGCGACCCATGGGTCCCGCTACCAGGAAAATATAACAGAACCCTATTCCCTGAAGTCGAATGTAGCTTGAGCCAAACAGTACAGGATTCGTGCTTGAAACCTTTGACCCGTGCTCTCCACTACAACCATGCACCTGCTCACCCACTCCGAGCCCTATAGACTATCAGATCCTCCTCCTCCTCCTCCTCCTCCTCCTCCTCCTCCTCCTCCTCCTAATCATCATCATCATCATCATCATCATCATCATCATCATCATCATCATCATCATCACCATCATCATCATCATCATCATCATCATCATCATCGTCATCATCATCATCATCATCATCATCATCATCATCATCATCTCAGCATCATCATCATCAGCATCATCATCATCATCATGATCGTCATCATCCTCCTCATCCTCATCATCATCATCATCAGCATCATCATCATCAGCAGCAGCATCATCATCATCATCATCGTCATCATCGTCATCATCATCATCTTCCTCCTCCTCCTCCACCTCATCATCATCATCATCATCATCAGCATCATCATCATCATCATCAGCATCAGCATCATCATCATCAGCATCAGCATCATCATCATCACCATCATCATCATCATCATCACCACCACCATCATCATCATCAATATCAGAATCATCATCATCAACATCATCAGCATCATCAGCATCATCATCACCACCACCATCACCACCACCACCACCAGCATCATCATCATCAGAATCATCATCATCATCATCATCGTCGTCATCATCATCATCATCATCATCATCATCATCATTCATCTCATCACTCATCATCATCATCATCATCATCATCACATCAGCATCAGCATCATCATCATCATCATCATCATCATCATCATCATCATCACCATCACCATCACCATCACCGTCACCATCACCATCACCATCACCATCACCATCACCATCACCATCACCATCACCATCACCATCACCATCACCATCATCATCATCATCAGCATCATCATCATCATCATCATCACCACCACCACCACCATCACCATCACCATCATCATCATCATCATCATTTGCATCATCATCATCATCATCATCAGCATCATCATCAGCATCATCATCATCACGATCACCACCATCATCATCATCAGTTGCAGCATCAGCATCAGCATCAGCATCAGCATCATCAGCATCATCAGCATCATCATCATCATCCTCGTCCTCATCATCATCAGCATCAGCAGCAGCATCATCAGCAGCAGCATCAGCATCAGCATCAGCATCAGCAGCAGCATCATCATCATCATCATCATCCTCATCCTCATCCTCCTCGTCCTGCTTGTCCTCCTTCTCCTCCTCCTCCTCCTCCAACTCCTCCTCCTCCCCCTCCTCCTCCATCCCCCTCAAGAAAGCCACCCCCTGGACCTCTCCAGGAGTGCGTGTTGGCTAGAATTTCAAAGGGAATCCAGCCGTGGCGGCGAGAGGCCTTCCAGTGGGCCCAGACAGGGCGAGAACACAGTGCCGAGAAAAACGAGCTACGAGATTCTCGAAGCTTAATCCTCCAAGCTCGATCCTCCCCCTCCTCCCCTCCCTCCAGGGTACCTCCTCTTCCCCCTCCCCTGCGGCGCCTCCAAGGTACCTCCTCCTCCCCCTCCTCCGCCTCCCCTTCCTCCTCCTCTTCTTCCTCCTCCTCCTCCTCCTCCTCCTCCTCCTCCTCCTCCTCCTCCTCCCCCTCCTCCCCTACCCCATTCCCCCTCCCGTGGCCCGTGGAGCCTGGGCAGCTGCACTTCGGGTACGCCTCCACCTCCTCGCGCGGGGCGAGGAGAGCGAGGCCGCCCGCCCCCCACGGAGGGAATGGGAGGCAGGGCCCCCCTGGGCAGGGGCGCCGGCCGGCGGCGCCCACAAAGGGATGGCGAGGGGGAGGGGGGACTTCTGAGCAGGCGGCGGAGCTTCCAGGGAGGAGAGATCAAGCACACAATCAAGCCTGTGGTCTGCGGCGAGCGAAGGGGGGGGGAATCGAAGGCGGCGGGACTTCTCAGAAGCCCTCGCGCCGTCTGCAAGGTTTTCTGCGTCTTCGGGGAGGGCTTAGAAGACTGTTCAGATGGCTGGGGAACTTCCGAGCCTGCTGAGAAGGCCTTCTCCTCCTCACTTCCCCCCTCGCTCGCCGCCAACGTGGGGGGGAGGAATGGGGCACGGCAGGGAGGTGAAGGTGCTATAGGTATGGGTGCGGATTGTCGGACCCCGAAGGGGGCTCCCGTCCAAGCGGGGACACCCATCCGACAACAAAAACACACACACACACACACACACACACACGCATAGCCCCGCGGAGCACCAGACCGAGAAACAAATCTACGGGTCCTATAGGTATGGGTGCTCGTCTCGCCATCGCTCGGACGTCCATTCCCCGTGCACGTTTCGATGCCGTGCGTGTTTTGTTGCTTGGTTGCCAAATGTTCAGGGATGCTCCTCGATGGTCACCGCCGAGAAGAAAAGGCACACGTCCGAGCGATGCCAAGTAGTTGACAGCTCGGGATCTAAGAAGGCAGAGGGGCTCCTTGGAAGCCCGCACAGCTTCTGAGGAGCCTCCCCAAAAGCCTCCGTGGCCTTCCAAGGACGCCCCCGCCTTCTGAGAAACCCCTCCGCCCTCTCCGAAGGCCAGCCCCCTTGCGCCGCCCCCACCCGATGATCCTCGGATCGTGTGTTCACGCCGACGTCGGCTTGTCCACCGAGACCACTCAATCCGGCGCAGGAGATGTAAAGATCTACTGGCGGGGTTGAACGGGGGAAACACGCATTGGGCTAACACACGTCCTGAGGATCATCGCGATCATCACCCCTTGTGTAGAGGACTCCCAAATAGGGTCCGAGCGGATGCGGTCGGAAGATCGCACCGCATCGCCGATGCATCGGCGATGCACCGGCCATGCATCGTCGACGTCGGCGATGCATCGGTGCCGTCGGCGTGGAGGAAATCGGGCCCCACATCGAGCCGATCGCCGATGCATCGGCGGTGCACCGGTCAAGCATCGTCGACGTCGGCGATGCATCGGTGCCGACGGCGTGGAGGGAATCGGGCTCCACATCGAGCCGATCGCCGATGCATCGCCGATGCCGAGCGATCCTCCGAGCCCATCCACTCCGACCTCATCTGGGAGGCCTGGACACACACTTGGCTGACACGCGTCCTGAGGATCATCACCCGGCGCCGGAGTCGCCGCCGGGGGGGGGCCCAGCGCGGATCCAAGAAATCCGCGCGGAGCGCCGAAAGTTGATCCTTATGGTGTTTTTTCTTCGATTGAGGGCGCCGCCAGACTGGGGCGCGAAGCCCGGAAAGCGGACCAGATCGGTTAAACAGGAACCGACCGTCCCAGCATTCCTGTTGGCCTACCACGAAATGTTCGTAGAACCCAAAAATGTTCTAAGAACCAAAGCGCTGGTCTTAGAACATAAACCGAATGTGTTCAAACAAGACAGCAACAGTTCGTCCTCCTCCTCCTCCTCTTCCTCCTCCTCCTCATCCTCCTCCTGAGAAGAGGTGATGATAAGGCCAAGGGCCAAGGCGGTCGGAGGTGGTGTCAGGACGATTCCTAATTTGGTCTACGCTTTCAGCGTTTGCGGCCCCTGCCTTAGCCCCTGGGTGTGGGCGCCATGCCGCTCCACGTCCACTGCCAGGTCGCCTCAGCAGAGGCCGGTCGTTCTGGCCACTCCTGCCGAAGCTCTTCGCGCGGTGAGTGCTCTCCTCCCCCGCCCGCGTTCCGCGGCCGCCCTCCGCCTTGTTCCCTCCCTCGTGCCGCCAGACGATTGATACACCTTGCCCTGGACTGCTAGAGCGCGCGTGCGGATTGCCTCTGCGTCGCTGCTACGAAGACAGTGTCCCTGCGGTGAGATAAGTCAGCAGGGCCCTTGCTTCTGCATAAGGCCACGCCTGGGGGGCAGGGCTCAGGCCGATCCAGCGGCATGAGGGGGCACGTTCATGGAAAAAGAAAAGCACGTTACCAACAACCTTGGAATGCCCGCGCAAATTTCTTGTGTCGCGATGGGCCCACCTCCCCTGGCGTGCGGAGGGCTCCAGAGGCGCTGCTGGAAAGGCATCGAGGGAGATCCAGCGCCGAGCCGCGAAATTCGGCGGACCTCTGAAACTGTATACTTATTTCGGATCTGCACTTTTTAGTCAGCGGCCGCGGGCAAGCGCGCCGGCGGCGAGTCAGGTCAAAGCGGGTTACGCAGAGACTAATTAGGCAGAGGAAACGCGAGAAAGTTAAAGCAGAGGCGACGCGCGAGGCAACAGCTACGGGCCGGCCGAGGCCCCACGCAGCGGCCCAACGGCAGGTGGATGGCTGGAGGGACCTCGGATCTGTACGCGACACCGCGAGAAACGGAGAGAGGCGAGAAGAGGCGGGCGGGGATGAGCACGAGGAGCGGCGCTGCGTGGAGGGGGGGCGCCATCCTTGCACATCGTCTCGCAGACGCCGGCCAACTTGTTCTGGAGCTGGGCACGCTGGCGCAGGTCCTGCCCGCGCACTCCCTGCTCCAGCGATGATCCTTCCTCCTCCTCCTCCTCCTCCTCCTCCTCCTCCTCCTCCGCCTCCTCCCCTCCTCCTCCTCCGCCTCCTCCTCCTCCTCCTCCTCCTCCCTCCTCCTCCTCCTCCTCCGTCTCCGCCTCCTCCTCCTCCTCCTCCTCCTCCTCCTCTTGCTAATCATCCTCCTACTTCTCCTCCTTCCGTCTGTTGTTCCATCCTTCTTTGGCTCTCCACCTCCTGACAGCCTTACAGATGAAGGCATGAGCTGTATCCACGTGGCGCTCTTCATCATCCTCTTCCTTCTCCACCACATCATAATCCTCCTTGTTCTTAAGTTGTCCTCAACATCCTTATTATTAGTATTATTATGATGATTATTATTATTAGTATGATTATTATTATTATTAATAATAACATTATGCTTATTATTATTATTATTATTAATATTATTATTATTATTATTGTTATTATTATTAGTATTATTAGTATTATTAGTATTATTAGTAATATTAGTAATATTATTAGTATCATTATTACTATCAATAATATTATTATTATTCTTATTATTATTCTTAGTATTATTATTAGTAGTAGTATTACTATTATTAGTACTATTATTATTATCCTCATCATCATCATCATCTCAACCACCACCACCATTACCATCATCACCACCACCACCACCATCATCATCATCATCATCATGATCATCATCATCATCAGCATCATCATCAGCATCATCGCCATCAACAGCAGAATCATCAACACCATCATCATCATCAACCTCATCATCACCATCATCATCATCAACAACAGCATCATCACCATCATCATCATCATCAGCAGCATCATCATCAACATCATCAACATCATCATCATACTCCTCACCCTTCCTTACATAGTTCCGTCCTTCCTTACTTCCTTGCACCTGCTCATCCTTCTTCTCTCCTCCTCCTCCCCGTCATCCTCCATATTGTTCCATGCAAAATAGCTGCTCCCTGTCGCACCCCGGGGTCTGTCACTAGGGTGGTTCGGGCGTGTCCCCTCAGACTTCCTCACCATTTCTGACCGCACGGACTGGGTGGGGGGCGGCACCATGTGGCGCACGTCTGCAGCAGCTTCAACGATGGAGGGGGGGGGGCTTTCGAAGTGTGAGCTTCGCCGTGGCGCCGCGCGCACTCGTCTCGAAAATGTGCCACGGCGTTTACGGGTGGAGGGTGGGTGGTCTTTGAGAGTGTGGCTCTCGCCCTAGAGTCGCTCGCATTCGTCTTGATAAAAGCATGCCGCCGTGCAGCTTATCATAGGGTGAAGGGAGGTCGGAACCTGGCTCTCGCCATAGCGCCGCGCACACTTGTCCTAAAGGTGAGTAACACTGTCAAGGATGGAAGGCGGTTCCTATTAAAAATATTGTTACCGCCTCAGCGACACACACTGTCGTCGTAAAGGAGGTGGCGCTTTCAAAAAGGGTGATATCGTCTTAACGCCGTGCACATTGGTCTTCAAAAGCCTGCAACACGTTCACGGATGGACGGGCGGTCGTTTTCAAAACGGTGTGCGATCCGGCACGCCGCGCATAATCGTCTTGGAAGTTCGAAGTCGCTTCTCGGATAAAGGGGCGATAGTCCCACCAGCCCTCTGGGCGTCGGTGGTTTAGGGAGTTTCCTCTTCCATCCCTCCTTCTTCCCCTGCGGGGAGGGGTTTACCCCTCCCCCTATCCCCTCCCCATGGACCTGGACAAGGGGTTTCGCGAGTCGTCGGAGCGTCCAAACGGCCTCGGCGAGGAAGCCAACATCATTGATTTTACTAAGGTTTTGGCCCCATGTTGGCCTCCTGGGGGGGCGACGCTAATTAATGCTCCCCTCTTGTTTGATCGATCTCCTCCAAGATGGCCCCAAGAAGCGCCCAGGAGGCCCCAAGAGGTCCCAAAATGGCCCCAAGATAGCCCCAAAAGGCCCCCAGGAAGCCCCCAAGAGACCCCCAAGAGGCCCCCAGAGACCCCCCAGAGGCACCCAAGATGCTCCAAGAGGCCTCGGCGAGAATACCAAATCATTGATTTTACTAAGGTTCTAGCCACATGTTGGCCTCTTGGGGAGGGCACTGATTAAGATGACTCCAAGAGCGCCTGGGAGAGCCCAAAATGACCTCCAAGATGGCTCAAGATATCCCAAGATGTATCATAATGGCTTCCTCTGTGTGCTGCCCACTTCCCTGATCGAGGCAATTCCTCTGGGCATCGTTTCTGGATGGGCTGGTGGGGATTCGCGAAGCGCCAGCAATTTTCAAAATGGGGCTCTCGCACCAAGTCGAGCATGCTCATCATGTATATTTGGAACACATTCACGGCTTGAAGGGTGCGCTTTTACAAGGATGCTCTCGCCTTAGCGCCGCGCACATTCGTCTGAATATCTGCAACAGTTTCACGGATAGACGGGGGGTCACTGTCACCATGGCGCCCACTCCTTAGCGCAACGCATGGTCGTCATAAAACGGCGCACTAGCTTCGCGGACACCTCCCCTCCTTTTCAGGCGATGGCAGCAGACTCCCGAAGCTTGCTAAGGACACGGGCGAAAGGGAAAGGGGGCGAGGAGGAGGAGAGTCTGAAGTGGGGGGGAGGGAGGGGAGGGGAAGGGAGAGAGAGGCGCTGGGAGGCAACATCCGGAAGGTTGTCGCAATAGTACTTAAAACGATGAAGCCCTGTTTGAACATAATCTGACTGGACTCAGCCCGAGTAAGCCATGGATTGGGCCAGAATGAGCCGGAATAGTGAAGATGATGCCGAGCTTCACAGCTTCCGACCTCGGACCCACCAGCGCCGATGCTCGATCCAACCTCCCAGGAGTTACATCCAACGGGGAGGGGAGGGGAGGGCAGGGCAGGGGAGGGGAGGGAGGGGAGGGGAGGGCAGGGGAGGACAGGGGAGGGTAGGGCAGGAGAGGGCAGGGCAGGGCAGGGCAGGGGAGGGGGGGGGGGGGGGGGAGGGGAGGGGAGGGGAGGGGAGGGGAGGGGAGGGGAGGGGAGGGGAGGGGAGGGGGAGGGGAGGGGAGGGGAGGGGAGGGCAGGGCAGGGCAGGGCAGGGGAGGGCAGGGCAGGGCAGGGCAGGGGAGGGCGGGGAAGGAGGTCTTCTCAAGCGGCGCCGCACCCCGTCTCCTCGGCCACGCACGCCTCGTCGGCGCCCGCGTTCCTCAGCAGGCGCGCCTGCGCCATCCCGCCCGCTGGGGAGCTCTCGCACGCTTTTCCCGCTCCACCTCCTCGTCCTCCTCCCTCCTCCTTTTTCTGAGGCATGCCGCGGGAGCGAGCGCTCGAGGCGTCAGGGGCGCCTGCAACAGCAGGCGAGCAAGGCAGGCGCCTCGGGCACGGCGTAAAAGACCATGAAATGAGATAGAGCCGTGCCCGAGCCAGAAACAGTGACAGTCGAGCAAGTCGAGGCGCTCGACCAAGCCTTGGTAGTGAACAAGACTTCAGGACCTCCAGAGGACCATTGAAGACTGAGGGGCCACATCATCTCCAAGGCTCGGTCGAGCTAACGGACTGCCAGCCCGCGCGCAGGTTGGGCAGCCCCTCAAGGTACAGGTCGCTGAAGCGGGCCGAAGGAGGAGGAGACGAGAGGGCTCAAGATGATGAATAATATAACGAGGGACGTAGAGGAGAGACCTAGCAGAGCAACGTGGCCTGGAGCATCATGCACATGCATCCTCCTCCTCCACCTCCGAGTGAATAACAAATAACTCCACCTCCTATACGTCATGGCACGGGTGCCACGGCCGCCACGGCACTCCAGCGCGCCCTGGGCGGGCGTCGGCGTGACCCATGCGGTCACAGCGACGGGCAGCAAATCTCCTCTACCTCCCTCCTCCTCGAGCCTCCTCCCTCTTCCGCTCGCCTGACATCCTCCGCCTGCTCGTCACCCCTCATCTCTCATCCCGCCCCTTCCTCCACCGTCGTCCTGTCGATCCTCCTCCTGATCCTCCTCATGAGCCTCATCTTGATCATCCCCCTGATACTTTCTCTACATTGTGCGAACTCGAGCGTCGTGGCTGTAGCGTCCGTGTGGAAGAATATCGAATGCCGACTTAGGCCTGTAGGTCAACAAGTTACGCCTGGCAGGCGTAGCTGAAAACAAGATGAGCGCAAGAGGCAACAGGCAGGCGTAGCAGAAAATGTTCTGCTCCTCATCCTCCTCATCGCCCACCACTTTTTACAACACATCGTCAAACTACTGTTCAGCCTCGTCCACCCTTCGGCCCGATGGCGGGCCAGAGAGGGCCCGTCCCCCCTGTTTGTCAACATGGACGGCGTGTCGTCGGCGTTGCGAGATGCGTGGCAGAAATGCCACGCGGCGCAAGTCGCGGGCAGAAAAGAAAAATCGTAGTTTTTGCCGCAGCGCCGCACCCATGTGCTGAAATTTGAGCGGGCACTGCGCAATATGTTCGATACGGGGCACACGGTTTTTGTTTGCCAACTCTTCGAGATTTGGGCCCGCGACCACAAGGTAATGTCGTCTTCGCCGAGGCGCTGCGCACGGGCGAGGCGCATGTTTTTCGATCGCAGGCCCTATGGAAGGCGGGGCCGCTCGCTAACGAGAGGAAGGCTGCGTCCGTCCCCAAATCCCAGGCATCCCGGAATGTTTGCGTTCCCGTTTGGGCGCGGCGCACGCTCTTCCCGCACCAGGTCGTCGGAAAGGAGCGCCGCTCACGCGCGAGCGCTTTCCCCATCCACCCGACGGGAGCGCCCGCCCGCCCAGATTGCTAGATGTGCCAGCATTGATTCTTAGGGCACAGGACGAGGCGAGGTGGGAGTGGGTGGGGCGCGCTGGCTTTCACGAGCTGGCCCTATTGACTCCTCCTCCTCCTCCTCCTCCTCCTCCTCCTCCTCCTCCTCCTCCTCCTCCTCCTCCTCCTTCCTCCTCCTCCTCCTCCTCCTCCTCCTCCTCCTCCTCCTCCTCCTCCTCCTCCTCCTCCTCCTCCTCCTCCTCCTCCACTCGACTTCTCAAGCTTGAGCCCGAATGTCGATGGTCATGCATCCGTCCCTGCTCTGCGCACTATCATTTTCTATGTGTTTCTAACTGCATTGCGCCGGGAGGCCCGCAATGTTATTCATATTCGAACACTTGTACGTGCAATGTCTCGCGAGGCTGCGCAGGGCGGCGCAAGCCATATTAATTATAATCATTACATCATGCCGACAATATAGTTGGCCGACACGTGGAGATTCGTTTTCAAACACAGAGTATCGCATCCAGAGGGTGAGGATCTCTACGTCCATAGTTCATCATGTAACTGACTTAGTCCAGTTCGTCCACGCTCGAAACTGTCATCCTCTCAAGATCACACTCCGTGTATTCATCCTTCCTCTTGGACTTGACGGTCACCGGCATCATATGAGAAAACTTCATGTAACCGGTCTCGAGGAAAGTATGGGAATCTCGTCGGTCGTACAGTGCTTGGTCAAATTGTAAGCGAGCATATCTCGAGTATCGCACCAGAATGCAAGGCGAACCTTGTGAATCGACCTCTTTTAACGAGGTGACAGAATAATAAGACGCTGGGACCTGTCTTGAGGAACTCCATTCATACCTGTACACATCTCATATAGATTACGACAGTCGGTCATGGTGTCAATAGGGATGTCGTAGCAAGCATCACCATCTGCTTCGATCGGTTCTTCAAACGTCGGTTGAGTTGGCCACGTCAGCTCTGTGGCGCGCATAGACATCAGCTCACAACGAGTCAGACATCCATGTTGACTGAGACATTATGCATGAGACGCGCTGTGGGAGATCCGCTTGGCTCTCTTTTCCGAATCTACAAGACAGTGCCCATATCCATTGTTCCGATCAGGCTTGATCTTGCCCGAGGAGGTGAGACCATACAAACAATATGTCATAGTGATTGCCATTTGACCTTCAACTGCATCTGATGACTTGCTGCTCCCACGACTAGCGCCGGCAACTGCGATCACGCGATACGTTGGATCAAGCTTCAGAAAGATCAGACCAATATGTGAATGCTGCCAAGCCCGTTTGGCAATCGCATTCGCCATTCTGAGGTGGGCGATCATGGCACTGCACACGCGCTGCTGCAACACCGCAACATCTGCGAGGATATCCACGCGAGTGTAGCATTGCGAACTCTATCTCATGAGGCCTGTAACCATTATCGTCTTTTCTTTTGGCAAGTGATGTCGATATGTCGCATCGGGGCCTCGCCACCGATAACTTCCCCAAAACGACTGTCCACCCTGCTGAATAGACTCTCATTGAACTCTACTGTGCCGGCGACGCAGGCGTCGTCCACGCGTAGCGTAGCTTCGCCAACCAGTGCCTTGTCTGCGCCGTGCCACGCGTAGAAGTTCCCATATCATGGGGGACTCGAGCCGAGGTGAACTTCGTCAGGGAATACCGCAGACACAACTGCCAGAGAAGCGGCGCATCGTTCAGACCGCACAGCGCCCGCGCCAGGCCGCACTCGGAATATTTGCTGGAGGGGGCCCCTGGAAAGGCGAGGTCTCCGAGATGAAGCCACACGCTGTCGGGAATCACTCAGATAACCTTACGTTTGATGTCGGGCATGGGCACCTTGAGTGCTCGGCACGCTTCTTGAGGACGATTGAGACTGAAGCCCTGGAGAAACGCACTGCCCACATCCAATTCCTCAATGTCCCAGTCGTTGTTGGCCACGTCACTCACAAGTAGCTTCTGGGACAGTCTGGTTGCAACTGCGCTGCATTTGGCGAGAGGATGCCCCCTGTGGGCCCCAGTACGCCACGACAGTAGAGCCTGCCTTTGATAATTCGTGACCAACTGCCGTCTTCTGCTTGCCCCCACTTCCATTTGCATACCCGGACACAATTGACGGGCAACGTGTTCGTGAAACCGAGCTTCTGGCCCCTGAAAACGCCATGGTTAACGAAGTTAACCAGCTCGGCGCGATCGGCCTTGAGAATGCCCGCCTCGAAACGAATCATCTCATCAGGGGTGAGGTTGTCTGTCTCCGAGTTGACTCTGCAGCAGGAGCCGCCGCGGACGCCCATCCAGAAACAGCTGCTGCGTTGCCGGAGCCCAGGCAGTGACGCATCGGCCGCGGTCGCTGTCCAAGTGCCACTGGAGGCGAGATGGCTCTCCGCCGAAGGAAAAGCCGCGGCCGCGAATGCACTGCCTGCCTCCTTCAGCTCAGCATCATGCTCATGAAAAAGATCGCCCATCAGGTCGCGCCTGTCCTGTCGTTCTTGGAAGTACGAGCCCAAGAGAACATGATCACTGACGCGGTCGAAATAGAATGGCGGCGCCCAGTCGTCCTGGTAAGACTGCAAGGCGTCGTTCAATTGAGGCCCACTGTACTCATGCGTAGGTAGGTCCTGAGCAGCCAGCTCTGAGGAAGCTGATGACTCTCCTCGCGTTGCTAGACATGGCAGCGAAGGTGTTGCGCCTGACGTTGATGACGTCTGCAGGCCGCGCGAACCAGAGCTCGAGGATGTTGACTCCATGTCGGCCCTCTTGGCCGGTGGAGTCTCATGCGAAATCTCATGCTTGATGCGCGACGCATCTGCTGGAGGCGACGCCGGCATTACAGGGTGCTTGTCTTCGCCCAGCCGAGCCGGGTACTCATCAATAGCTTGATCATGTTCTTCCTCTGGGTCGTGAACTGTCTAGCCGATGGATGACCACATCTGCTTCTCGAGATCGAGCGATCCGAGACTTCGCTTCCTTCGACCGATCGAGCCTGTCGTCTGGTCCCACGCATGCCCCCAGAATTTTAATTATCCTCGCGGGCTGGCACTGGCTGAACAACTGCATCCCCAGCGGGGACAGGGTCGCGAAGCATGCTGGATCTCTAGGCGACTCCGCGCTTGGTCATGCACGATGCTCGAGGGGGCCGTGGCGGCGGAGGCACATGCGGATCCAGGTCCTGAGGTTCGAGACCTTGGTCGTCGAGATCAGGTCGTCAAAGATATCGGTTCAGGTGGTAAGATGCTGGAGAGGGCACTGAAATCTGGGATACCGCTCTGGCGAGGGCGATCGTCATAAGGCATCTCGTAGCAGAAGACATGTACAAACGACACCTCTCCCCACGAACTGCCATGGCGTCGTTCGAAGTCGAGACGAGTCTCTGGGTTGACTTCTGCCGCCGTGCGCCGTTGGCTGTTGCGCCGCTGCCAAGCGAAAAGCACGCCACACGTGCGCGCGGGCATGGCCGGCA